ACTTGGGAGTAAGGCCACAGGTGGAAAATGAATGGCTCCTCCTAGAGGAAATAAAAGAGGAGAGAAAGGGGAGAGCAGTTTGCAGGAGACAATTAGTTCGCTTAATTGGTTCATGAGTCTCCGAGATTCCTTGCCAAGTTTTGCAAATATCGGCCAGGTGGCTCTCCAAGCCAGATAAGGTCTGTGACTGTAAATCCTCCCTTGAAAGACTTGGATGTGAATGAGCAGGATTCACAGTAAATTAATAAAAGGGATTTTTGTAGGGACAAGGAGTTTGCTTCATGCTCTTGGGAAGCCTAGGTCAGAATACCTCTGCAGATCACAGTGGCCAATTATGGATAAGCTTATCCATTTTTTTAAAAAAAAGTCAAATTTTGTTGGTTAATTAATTTAAACAGAAACTCAGTTTTTTTTCCAAAAATAATCATTTTAAAGCAGAGTTTAAGACAGGCATTGAAAACACTACCACTAATTTCTATAATTTCTATTTGATCTCTGACTGCTGAGAAAAGCCTTCCAAAGAAATGTATGGTAGTCTCCAGCCCCACTGAAGGTTTGCTAGTCCCTAAAATATGTGTTCAGAACATTGTTTCTGAAGTGGGGGGGGGAGCCCTGGATCAGTAGTCTGGCATCTGTGGTACAGATGGCTTCTACAGGTTTCCAATTCTGTCCTAACCAGGAGTCTCCAACCTTGGCAATGTAACTAGTTTTTGGACTTCAACTCCCAGAATGGAGTCGTAAAGTTGCCAAGGTTAGAGACCCCAGCCGAAATAACTATGTAGAGATTCTTTCTTAGCTTGCCAACCCTGAGAACACATGCTTCCTTTCTCCTTTTCTTTTAGGAAAATAATTTATACTGCTCAGTGATAGGTTCTGCCTTGAAATTCTGGAAACTTCATGCTAGTGACGGGCATACGGAAACCACCCTGAAAGTAAGATTTATTGACAACTGCAGAGACAACATTTGACCACAGTTTCTCTTTACTGAGGAGCAAGACTGCATAGTTTCCTATTATGTACATAGATGATGAGTGGATAGAGGAAATCTGGGTCATTCTAGGAATTAAATCAGTTTTTCGAATGAAGATTCAAATTCATTTAATACCTGTGTTTCAATATGGGATTGGCATAGGAAAGGGACTTTTGCAATGTTTAGTGGAAATGAGATTGGAAAACTAAAATCTGGAAAATAAGGTAGAAGTAAATAAATTGGTTTCATACTTCATAAGATTTTGTTTGACATTTTAATTTTGTAAATACATTTTATTTAATTTTGGTATGCAAAATCAAGTTTTAAATATACTTTTCGTAATTAAAATGAACAAATAATCAAGACTCCAACATCCATGATCGTATGGATTCCAGTGGGGAACCATCTTAGTATTTTGATCCCAAACAAGAGACTTCATCTCTTGTATAGTAGCATAAACCTTTTTGAGTCATGAGAAATGAATCCATTTCTGATGAAGTGGATAATTAATATGTAAATATTAAGTTGCCACAAAACCTACTGTAGTTACAGTTAAGGTTAATTTTAGGGGTTAATTAATAAGAAATGGGATGCAGTGCCTCAGTGGCTAAGACGCTAAGCTTGTTGATCAGAAAGGTTGGCAGTTCAGCAGTTCAAATCCCTAACGCCATGTAACAGAATGAGCTCCCATTACTTGTCCCAGCTTCTGCCAACCTAGCAGTTCGCAAGCATGTAAAAATGCAAGCAGAAGAATAGGAACCACCTTGGTGGGAAGGGAGCAGTGTTCCGTGCACCCTCGGCATTTAGTCATGCTGGCCACATGACCACAGATATGTCTTTGGACAGCGCTGGCTCTTTGACTTTGAAACAGAGATGAGCACCACCACCTAGAATCTGGAGCAACTAGCACATATGCGCAAAGGGAACCTTTACCTAACAGTTAAGATTCAAGTTGAAGTATATTGAATGTCTTCTGCAATATCCTGACAAGAACATTCTTAATGAAATGCTTAAGAAAAGCTAAATGGGATTTGAAAAGTTTGCTTCTTGTAATGCTGCAGGGCTCGGTCACTTCCTTTGAAAATCTTTTTGATAATCGCTCTCACTGGGATAGTAACACAAAGAAGGATTTTGTCACAATGTTGCCCATGATTATGGAGGATATAAGCTTAGGTGCACTATTCACAGCTCTTGCAAATCCAGGAAACATCTCTCAAACAGTGGTTCGAAACTTCACAGGTAAGGAAAAAGAAAGGTGAATTTTGTCTTTGAAGAAAAAAAAGGCTTTTTGCTTGTATGTTGCACAAGTCAAATTCCCTGTACTGAGTCTTCTTTCATTCATCAACTACAGGTGCATATGGCAACTCACAATTTTGACTTCTTTAATGAAAGCAGCCTGTATATGAGAGTTCTGGCATGTTTTCAATGTATTTATTTCATTTATTATTTAAATTTGATTCCTACTTTTGCATTAAACATTCCAATAAGCTGTCAATTAATGACAATTAATCAAATTATGACAATTAATCAGTTTATGACAATTAATCAGA